TGAGCAGGGAGCCCGATGCGGGACTCGATCCTGGACTCCAGGATCATGACCTGAGCCGAAGGCAGTCGCTTAACCAACTGAGCCACCCAGGCGCCCCCAGACTCTTAACTATAGAGAACAAACTGGTTACCAGAGGGGAGGTGGGTGTGGGGATGGGTGAAATAGGTAATGAGGATTAAGGAGTGCACTTGTGATGAGCACTGGGTGTTGTATAGGACTGTTGAATCACAATATTGTACACCTGAAATTAATAGAACATTGTATGTAAACTAATTGGAATTTAAATAGAAGCTTAAAAAGGAAGAAACATGTGGGAAAAAATAGGGGCAGATGCTCAATAAATGGAACTAATAAATACACCTCTCCTTGTTTTTAAAGAGAAATAGGGGGGCAGGGAAGAAAATATTTATTAAGAAATTAATATGTGCCAGTCATTGTGCTGAGAAATTTCCCTTTTTTCCCATTTAATCCCCAGAAATCTTTTATGGCATTGTCAATTCCATTTTCTTTAAAGATTTTATTTATTTATTTGACAGAGAGAGAGACAGCGAGAGGGAACACAAGTAGGGGGAGTGGGAGAGGGAGAAGCAGGCTTCCCGCGGAGCAGGGAGCCTGATGCAGGGCTCGATCCCAGGACCCTGGGATCATGACCTGAGCCACCCACGTGCCCCTGTCAATTCCATTTTTGATCAGGAAATTAAGGTTCAGACAGGTTAGGCAACTCACTCTGAATCTCTTCACAAGTAAATGTTCAAGTTTGACACTTCTCTGGTGGACTACAACCTTACAGGGTAAGAGGTAGAGTCGGGAGGCAAGAGTCCTAGTGCTTTCAATAGACTAAAAAAAAGTTTTTTCTCATGAGGGAACCATGAAATCAACCACATAAATTGTGAAAATATAAATCATGGTTGTATTTTTCTGTGACAGTGTAGAAAATGCACATTTTAATCAAGCTAGAAAAAGAAAGAAAAATTATGAGTAGTTCAATCTTGCTCATTAAAAAACAGAACTAGCATTACCAAATCCAGCAACCTGTCCCCCCTCCCTCCAGAAACATTTTATCCACACTAGAATTTTGAATGAAAGACAAAAAGATCAGCTACAGGATGTATATAGGGAAGGATGATGAAGCCTGGGTAACTTTTATAGCACGGAAAAGCCCAGACCTGAAAAATGTTTAGTACCTGCGTTAGGCCGGAAAATGGCCCCTAAAGATAATTAGGTCCTAATCCCTGTAATTTGTACATGTTACACTATTTGGAAAGGAGGTCTTTGCAAATGTGATTGAGTTAAGGATCTTGAGATGGGGGGGGGGGTGTTATCTTGTATTACTCAGGTGGAACCTAAATGCAACCACAAGTGTCCTTATAAGAGACAAGCGGAGGGAGTAGTGAGAAACACCCACAGAGGAAGAGGCAGAGATTGGAGAGATATGGCCCCAGGCTAAAGAATACAGCAACTTTCTCTTCTCCCGGAGAAGCTGGAGAGGCAAGGAGCATATTTTCCTCTTGAGCCTCCAGAGGAATTTTGGTCCAGTGAAACTGATTTCAGACTTCTGGCCTCCAGAACTGAGAGTATTTAAAGAGTTCAGTACAGTTTTAGTACACAGTAAGTGCTCAACAAATGCTGTTACTAAAACATTAGTTATAGTATCTGTAGCAGCCACCGTTTTTCAGCCACGTTCCTTTCCGCCTCAGGGACTGTATGTCCCAAGACGCTCTTTGCCTGGGTTCCACCTCCCATTATATTCTGGGACTTGTAGTCCGGAAGTGGGTGACTGATTCATCAGCGCGCAGGCGCAGTGGCGCGGATTCCCGGAACAACCGGCAGAGGCTCCCAGGATGAGCGGGTGGCGGTGGCTGCTGCTGCGGCGGCGGCGCTGACAGGACACGAGCTCTATGCGTTTCCGGCTGCTGGTCCCGCTCGGCCTCCTGTGTGCGCTGCTGCCCCTGCACCATGGTGCGCCAGGCCCGGATGGCACCGCGCCCGACCCCGCTCACTACAGGTGAAGGGGGTCAGAGTCCTGGCACTTCCATAGTTGGGGAAGGGAAAGCGCAGACCCGGTCCCTTTCCTTTCCCTAAGTCCCAGGAGCCCCCACCCTGACCTGCTCGGACCCCGCCACTGGGCTCAGGCGGTAATTCCCACTTTCCGCCCTATTTGTCCTTTCCCCTGCCTTATTTCTTGTACCCCGCACCAGGGAGCGAGTCAAGGCCATGTTCTACCACGCCTACGACAGCTACCTGGAGAATGCCTTTCCCTACGACGAGCTGCGACCTCTCACCTGTGACGGGCACGACACCTGGGGCAGGTAGTGCGAGTGGAGGAGAAGGGGGGCGGCTTGGGTGTGGCAGTCCGGCCCTAGGCGGGCGGGTCTCCTGGGGCTGGTGGCTTCACGGCCTCCTCACCAGTTCCGGAAAAGCTCCTAGCGAGGGTGAGGCCGCGTTCCCTCCAATTCAGGGCAGCACCGCCAGGATCCACCCAGCCTCCTGGAAAGTTGGATCCCACCGTGGAAAAAGCCTGGGTTAGCCTGGTGGACTGGACCTCTGGGCTCCAACCACGACAGTAACAGGCACCAGCAGTGGGGACTTGGACACATGGACAAATCTCTGGAGTCCTAGGCTATCGAGAAAGGGCTCCAAGAAGTCAGAAGACCCAACCCCTCATTTTATAATTGGGCAAACAGGCCCAGGAGGGGGTGTAACTCTTCCAAACTTGAAACTTCAGAGCATTTGTTGTTAGTAACTGAAACACACTCACATTACTGACTGCTTCTTGAGATTTCAGCTCAAAATGTCACCTCAGCATCATCTCCCTTAACCACCCACCCCCTACAGGTCACTCTCACAAATCACCCTATTTATTTATTTATTTAGTAGCACTTCTCACTCTCTGATATTATCATTTTCACTTGTCTGCGAGTTTGTCTTTCTCACTTCCACTAGAATAAAAATTCATGAGATGGAATTCTCTGTCTTGTTTCTTGCTGAGTGAGTGAAGAATCATTGCATTTAGCTGAGGCTGACATCGATTAAACACTGTGCTAAGCATTTTACTTGTGTCTTCTCATTTAATTCTCTTAACACCCCTAGGAGTTAAGTGCTGTTTTCTCCACTTAACAAATTAGTATGCTAAGAACGGGAGAAGTTAACTCAACAAAATTTGTGCTGGTTTTCTTTTGTTAGCTGAAAAAAAAAAAAAAGAGAAGTAAGCAAATGGCAAATTCAAGCAGTACAAACTCATATACAATAAAGTAAGTCTCTCCCATACCCTACAACTCCAACTACTGTTGACTTTCTTGTGTATCCTCCCCAAAATATTTTGTTTATACCATCGTATAAGTATGTGTATGTGTATCTTTTTAAATCAGCTTTGTAAAGGCATAACTTACATATAATAAAATGAACCCATTTAAAACATATAGTAGCCACTATCACAGCCAAGATAGAGTACATTTCTGTCATGCTAAAACGTCCCCTTGTGCCCCTTCATAGTTGATCCCTCCACCACCACTGGCCCAAACACCTGCTAATCTGCTTTCTGTCTATATGTCTCTTTTTGAAAATGCAGATAGAAGCATACCTCACTGCCTATCCTATTCCTTGTCTTTTTCATTTAACTATATAATTTGAATATTTTAACATTAGCCCATAGAACTCTTGATAACAATCTTTTTTGACAACTTCATAGTTTTGCACTGTTTAAATGTACTGCAATTTAGATAATCGCTCTTCAACTGTGTGTATGTTTGGGTTACTTCTAACTTTTTGCTATTCTACACAATACTGCCATGAGCATTCTCAAACATACAGCTCTGTACACATTGAGATAAATTCCTAGATGTGGAAAAGCCTGTGCCCTTAGCTACAATCTTACACTGCCTCCCTATGGCAGAGAAGAATGCCGGTCCATATAGATGATATGGTTAACCACAGTTGAGCAATATCAGCCCATCCTCCCAGGTGCATTAAATGGGTTAGAGCTTCTTGGCAATTTTCAGTCTGGCTTCTCTGTTGTGACTGGAAGCGAGATAGGAGAGGCATTGCTGTGCCTCACTTATTATTTTTTGGGGTCTCTGATCTGGGGCAGCCTTACTATCTTGTGTTTGATTTTCTTACTAAGCAGTTGGGATTTCTGTCCTTTTACAGTTTTTCTCTGACGCTAATTGATGCCCTGGACACTTTGCTGGTAAGTGTCTTGACAATTGCTTTTCCTCACCACCGTTGTGTAACCAAGATCCTTCCTCTTTTGGCAGCTTGGCTGTGGGTGAAAAACAAATTCTTCACTTAGGCCTTTTATTTTTATCTCCGGATTCTGAACCATCAGGTTCTGGTTGCCCAGCTAGGTAGAGGAAAAGGATGAATTCCAAACGTGTTCAGGGTCATTTATTCAGCAGACGTTTATAGAGGACCTGTTATGAACACAGCACTGGGATAGGCCTATATAACTGGGGGTGATATGGAGACTTTGAGACCCTCTTTGTTTTCAGAGGCTTGCATTCTAACTGGACATGTTCGTGATAAAAAAAATATTAGCAGTAACTAGTTCGTGTGTTATGTGTAGGGCTTGTGCTAAGCACTTTATATGTGTTACCTTGTTTAATCCTTCCAACAACCCCATGAGGTACATACCTTTACTCCTTCTTAGTCTGGGGAAATCTGATGCTTAGAAAGGTAAAATGGGTTGGCCAGGGTCCATAGCTGTGAAATGGCAGGGCTAGGACTTGAGCTTAACTCTGTATGACTCCCAAGTCTTTTTTTTTTTTTTGAAGATTTTATTTATTTATTTGAGGGAGAGAGAGAGCACGAGCAGGGGGAAGGGGTAGAGAGAGAGGGAGAAGCAGATTCCCTGCTGAGCAGGGAGCCCGATGCAGGACTCAATCCCAAGACCCTGGTGTCATGACCTGAGCCAAAAGCAGACACTTAACCGACTGAGCCACCCAGGTGACCCTGTATCATGCCAAGTCTTAATTGTCCTCCTTAAAAAGGCCACAGGAGAAGATATAATTAACAACTTTCTCCCTACTTCACGATTTCTGGTTGTCTGTCACGTCTTCTCATTTTTATATATTAATAGCATTTACATGATTGTGATCATCTTGCAGATATAATTTCCCCTTTTTTCCCTTAATGTTAATTTGTATGTACTTGTCCACTCATCAAATATTTATTGGGGGCCCCCTGTATGCCAAGCACAGTGCTAAGCTCTGGAGTTATAGTGGTAAGTTTAAATAGATATGGTCCCTGCTTTCCTGGAGTTATGACTTTTGTGAGGGAGACAAAGAACCAAAGAATAATCCTAAAGGACATAGAATTACAAATTGAGGTGAGTGCTCCGAAGGAAGAGAACATGGTTCTGTGAGTGGTCATGTAACAAAGGAAGCGGACCTAGACTGAGGAGGTCAGGGAGGATTTCCCTAATTCAAGTTGGGATCTGAAGGAGAAGCCAGTGTTGACTAGGCAAGTGGGGGAGGACAGAGTGTTCCAGGCAAGGGCCTCACAGCAGGAGAGAGTGTGGCAGACGCAGGGAATTGAAGGAGGGCCAGTATGTCTGGGATGTGGAGAAGGAAATGCAGAAAGCAAAGTGGAGCTGGAGGCCTCACTGGGGACCAGGATGATGGAAGCCCTTGTTCACTATGGTAAGGATTTTGATTTCTAATTTGAGAGCAATGGAAAGCCACTGAAACATTTTAAGTAGAGGGCAGGAAATGCTGAGATTTCTGTTTTGAGAAGATCACTAACTGCAGTGTGGAAAGAGATTCATGTAATCATTCAGTAAGCATTTGTTGAGAATTGCTCCATGGGCTATGCTTGGCACCCTGGAGGAAGGCAGGAATGAATGAGGCTCCTTCCCAGGCAAAGATTCTCTTAATATGGAAAGAAACAGATGCTGTAAGAATTGTGTGGATA